GCGGCGGCGGCGGCGGCATGAGGCGCTGGGCCGGTGTCCGCGGGAGGGAGGTGCTGCCGGCGGCCCGGTCGCTCCCGCTGCAACTGTTCGCCGGCTCGCTGTGCCCTGCCAGCTGGGCCTCTGCTGCCCTCGTCTCGGCCGCCTCCCGGGCCGCTGCTGGTGACCACTCGCCGCGCCGCCGGAGGCTTCACCCGCGCCCTCCCTCAGGACGCGCCCGCGGAGCTCGGGCCCCCTCGCCCCGGACGCGGAGGCCGCGCTGCGCGGGGCGGCGGCGAGGCCGGAAGATGGCCTGGGTGCTCAAGATGGACGAGGTGATCGAGTCCGGGCTGGTGCACGACTTCGACGCCAGCCTCTCGGGGATCGGGCAGGAGCTGGGCGCCGGCGCCTACAGCATGAGGTAGGGCGCCCTGGAAGGCAAGAAGCCTTTCTCTCCCTGACGGTAGCCTGCACGGCCGTGTGGCTCTCTCAGCGGCGGTGTCCGGCGGCGCCTAGGCCGCCCTGCCCTCCGGGTCGGGACTCTGCCGCGTTCCCGAGCGGGACTGGGAGCCCCCAGGCCTCTCAGTGGCTTGGGCTGGGGACTGCAGCCCCGCAGGCTTCGCCGGAAAAGCGCTCTCAAGGGCTTCATTTTTGCTGTAAAACATGTCCTGCTGTTGAGATGACTAGGGTTGTTGGGTGAAGGCCTAGTGGTTCACGAACCCCTTTGAGGAGAAATACCCTGTACAAAAATTTAGCATGTATTTAAGCGAAAATACACCAGCGTTTTGTATCAGTTCTCTGTTGTCCTTCGTTGTAGATTTTCCTTTTTGCAATTTTTAGTTACTTGATATTAGTAAGTTATTATGAATGACAGTGGTAGCAAGGGGGAAAAGCACCATAATGACTTCGTCGTTTTTCTGATTGCCTCTAAGACGGTGAAGTTTGTCATTTTGGGGGCTGCCCTCAGGCTGTTCCTATTTGAAGAGTTTTAACATGCAGTGATTGTGCCACAAACAATACTTTGTTTAGTCTCTTCTGTCTGTACCTACAGTGGTTTGTTTTGTTTAGTTTTGTGAGGTTGAGGCAGACAGGAATGTAGTCTCTGCCATCTATGTTGAAGAATGTATATATTTAGGAATATATTTGCATGCGTGCACACATACATATAACAGTTTGGAAGCCCCTTGCTAGTGGTGTTATTGAAATAAAATTGATGTGCCATAAAATTTTTATTTGATATCAGGCTAAAATTTAGTGGTTTGGCAGCTTTTGGATAGTATGAGTTAAGGGTAGTTATATGTTATTTTATAATTTGTACAGTTGTTTGGAGATGCTGATGTGTTCGAAGTGCTGTGCCGTTCACCAGAAGCATTAGTACATTGCACTGCATCTCACAGGAAGGATTGGGAGGAAATGTTCAGAAGAATGACTTGGACCCGGACCTGGCACTCAGGAGAGTGAGGCAGGATGGCTTCGAGTTTGAGGCCAGCCTGGGCTACATAAACAAAAACAAAAAATGACTTGCAAATCAGGGTAATCCTAGATTGTGTAGACTGATACCCAGTGCAGTTTGGCTTTTAAATCTTAGAAATTCTGAGCCATAAGGAGCTCAGAAAGGTGGAGATAGATTTTTGGGTGTGGAAGTGAACTGTGGAAAACATTAAACCAAGAGTGAAGCCACCACTGTCTACAGGCTCTGATTTGTCTCTGCTTGTCACCTTGATCTTGCAACCTCCTGTTGCAGTTGTGTAACTTGAATACTGTAGAAGAGGTGGCTTGTTTTCTAGAACAACTGTCTGGGTTGTAGAAGAAATTGCTACCGAAAGTCCTGAGGTCAGCCCAGGGATTGTGGAGAGGTAATGCTTCTCTAGTGGAACTGCTCCAGAAGTGCTTTGTTGCTGTGGGCTCCACTGCACAGCCTGGAAAGCCGTGAAGGCAGAAAAGGGCAGGTGAACACTTTCAGTATGTATGTCTCTAGTTGTTTCTCACAGTGAAAGGAACTTCAGCTGTAGAAAATTTTGCCAAGTGAGTGTTAATTTTGTGCTTTTACATGTTCTAGGGTCTTGCACGAACTATATTTCGGTGGTTCAGCCAACTTAATGCAATTAACTTGTGTTTGTGGTTTATATCTGTGAGGAGAGAGTAAAATCTTCCTGGTTAACCTGTGAGTGTTCTTAAAAGTATTGCTCAGATTTATTGTAATTCTGTCATTTGCAACATTCTTGTGAGGAAACTTCCCCTTGAATGTTTTTTGCTGGTTTGTCTTGTAGTGCAGGCTGGTCTTGAACCATGTAACCCATGCTGGCTTCAAATTGAGCCGAGCCACCTCCCTCCATACCTGTCTTCTTGAATGTTTTTGATTGTGTCATTTAGTTGAATTTTCAATTGATGGTGAGTATCATTTTGAGGAGTTTAACTTTACATAGTTAATTGAATCCTGAAAAAGAAAGGGGAGCTGGTAAGAATACGTGCCTTTTACAGATTCAAGACTCTTTATTTGAAGTGAATTTGTGAAAAGTGTGTGTGTGTGTGTGTGTGTGTGTGTGTGTGTTTAAAACCCAGGGTCTTGACATATCAATGCTTGATGAAAAATACCTGTTCCATATTATGCCTAAGATGTTTGATATGCAGACAGATAGTGAGGTTAAGCTTAACAGCCTAAGTTGTATGGTAATAACAATAAGCTCTTCTGGAGGGTTAACAATCTAAGTTTGCAGACCAAAATTAGAGAAAAAGAGCCACAAGGAAAGCCAACATTTTGGCCCTAGACTTCCAAGATCAATTAAGACTCAGGACATATGAGAACTTGTACTGTAACGTCATGTAACTCAGTAGTGTCCCAAATTTTCTGATCAAGGAGATTATGGGGCCAAAGAGGAAAGTGATCAGTGATGTAGAGTGTGCCTAAGGCGAGTCACATGGAGAGAAAACACTCTCTCAGGCTTTCACAGAGAGCACATTGGCCAAGCAATGGCTGTGACTCATCCACATGGCTGACACTGACAAAGGTTCTACAATCTGAGGTAGAGGGTCTCAGGATAAATCCTGAGGGGATTTCACTGACCTTATCAGACCCAAAAGTTACAACTCTTGTTGCACAGGTCTTGCTTTATCTTGGTCTTAACCATCCAGCAGAAAAGTATAAAAACGAAGTATAAGAAGTAAAGCCATGGTGTTATGTTGACCTGTAGGGGACTCAGGTCAACAATTTCTAACATTGCCAGTCAAACGGAAGACCCAATACTATTATGGACTACTGGACTCTTTTGGAATATTTTGCTGAGTTCACAACACCTGTAATATTCATATGCCGGAACTAAACAAAAAAGGGGATACAGATGAATGTCCATTTTGTATCTGTGTATTCAAAATGTTTAGGATAGATATATAGTTACATTCTCTTAATGAATAGAGGGATTTGTTGTAATAGTGTTTATAAATAGGATATCATGTCTGCATCTTGTACAGCAAATAACCACTAGGAAGACAGTATGCAATGTGTTAATTATTGAAACTGTCCTACCAATTTGATTTGAAACTGTCTCATTGCTATTTGTTTCTCCATAAAATTATGTAGAAAAATAAAATAAAACCCAGGACCTTGTACTGCACACTAACAGCAAGAGCTGTGTCCCCAGAGCTTGAAATTGTTAAATATAGGGAATTCTAAAATTGATGTGACAAGGAGAGAATGTGGAGAAAACTCCAGAGCAGTGATGGCGAACTTTTTAGAGCTTTCAGTGACTCAAGCAGCCCAGTGTGGCATGCCATAGGTCCATAGATGTGCCAGTTTTGCTCTAGACTGGAGGCCTCCTTCAATGATTTCTTACCCCCTGCTGGAGCATTTGCTCTTTTCCTCTGGTGTCAAATAGGAAAGAAGCCTTATCTTTTACATTTGCTCTCAAATTTAGGAAATAAACTTGAGTATATTATTGAAATTAACATTTTGAAAAATTTACTTTGCAAGTGGCTTTCCCTTTTTCTTTCAAAGTAGTATGCTCACTGTGTTTGCTTTTTTGAATGACCTAAAACAAATTCTTTTGGGGGAGAATTTATTTATTTATTTGAGATAGGATCTTGTTACATACTTTAGCCTGGTCTTGAACTCACTGTGTAGCTCAGATTATTGAGACAGCGTCTTGTTACATACTTTAGCCTGGTTTTGAACTTATGATGTAGCCCAGACTGGTTTTTAACATGGGGATCCTCCTGCTCCAGGGTCCTCAGTGCTGGAATTAAACAGGTGTGCAACACCACATGGAGCTAAAACAAATTATTTCCTAAGACTTTTTTTTCCCCCCTGCATTTAGGGCAGAGTCTACAGGATCTCACTACCTACATCGGACTCTTAGTGATTCTCCTGTTTTCAGCCTCCCAAGTGCTGAAATTACAGGGGTGCGCCATCATGCCCAGTCTCAGTCGCTGTGTCAGTGCACCTCATGGGTGGGGCCGGCACAGAACTCAGGCTAAAACTTATTTTTAGAGAAATTATGTCTTCAGCTTTTTGGGAAGATAGTTCAGAGAAAAAAAGGACCTTCCTCAGTAGTTCAAAGAAAAAAAGGACCTTCCTAAGTAGTATACCTTAAGTATTTGCGTTAAACTGTGTAGACTGATGGTGTTGGAGATACTTTGGAACCAATTTTTTGTATTATCTTAGCTTCTGTTTTGTCTAGCTGGGTGGCAGGATCTGGTCCTCATTTTGTATGTCTTCTTTGACCACAGTTATACATGTGATGTGACTTAGTGCATATTCTGTTTGTAATAAGGTGGATTATAAATCTTTTTCTAAATCTTATAGCCCAGGCTGGCCCCAAACTCATGAGGATCCTCCTGCCTTAGTCTCCCAAGTGCTGAGATTATACATATGCACAACAGAATTTTCTAAGGTCTTTTAAGCAACCTAGTCATTTTCTTTCCATCTGTGTTCACATGAAGTTCATAATCTGGCAGTCAGAATTGAACTTTTTTTAAAAATCATTTATTTATTTATTTATTTATTTATTTATTTATTTATTTATTTATTTGGCACAGCGTCTTGGTATGTGGCTCAGACTTGTTTCAGCCTCCCCAGCACTGGGATTACAGGTGTGTGCCACCATGCCTAGTTTCTGTGGCCAGCTTAGTGCCGGCTAGCACAGCATGCAGTACTGGGGATCAAACCCGGGTCTTTGCACTTGGCTAGGCAGGCACTTAGACCGCCAAGGCCCCAGAATTGAACTTTTTTTCCCCATTTATTCTGGGGATTGAACCCAAGGCTGACGTGTCTTGAAAGTATAGAAAAGTTTTAGGATCAGTGGAATTCTTTTGGCTTTTTTTGAGACAGGATCTTGCTCTGTAATTCAGGCTGGTCATGAATTCAATGTATAGGCCAGGCTGGCTTTGATCTAATGGTGATCCCCCCTGCATTAGCCTCCCAAGTGG